GGCCGGCGCGCTGGGGGCTCCGTGGGCGCCGCGGGGCTGCGTGGGGGGAGCGGGTCTCACCCCGTGCCCGTTCCAGGGCTCCCCGGGAGCGCTGGGAAGCAGCGGTAAAAATAAATCACAACCGGGGCTACCTGTGAGCGCCCTTCCCGCTGCAGCTGGGCCGGGCCCCGCGCGCTTCCCGGCGCCGGGCRTCCGGAGGGGCCTTCCCGCCGCGAGCGCGGCCCCTGCCCGGCGAGATCCCCGCGGGAGCCGTAGCAGCCTGCTGCTGTGAACGCTCGGCGGGGCAGGCGTGCCAGGTCCTCGTCCTGACGGGAGCACCCGCTCCGGGGCCCGGCTCGCTTGGAGAGGCCCCTGTGGAGGCATCGAGCGTACCTGCTGCTCGAGGGAGCTAGTGAAGAGTGTTCTTAGCGGCGAGCCTGTGCGTATCCCAACAGCTGGAACGGCCTCTCTTCCCGGGTTTCTCCCTTCTTCCTTGCAGGAGTCAGATGGGGGATTGTACATCTGCATGAACACGTTCCTGGGCTTTGGGAAGCAGTATGTGGAGAAGCACTATCAGAAAACAGGCCAGCGGGTCTATCTACACCTCAAAAGAACACGTAAACCGGTATAAATAAATAGATAAATAAATAAATAGAGCGGTCCTACTGAAACATATTTCTAAATGAGTGTAGAGTCAGATCACAGCTCTCACTTTCAGGACACGTTTGGCAATTTGTAAAGTTTTCTYTCCTCTTGAGCGTAACGCATGTTTTTGTTGGTGGATCCCAGTTATTCAGCTCTGCTGATTATCAGTTACCACGTGGGTTGCCCAAACAATTTCTCTCTCCTCTCTCCCATTTTCACAGTAACTCCTATGCCTGAAGCCTGCCTCTCCCAATAACTCTATTTTCTTATCCTCCCTGAATTAGAAGGAAGAAGACACCAACTCCAGTGTGGGGGATCCCCCGAGGAAGAAGCCAACTCGCCTGGCTATTGGTAAGAAAGCACTCGTGTGCCCTGCACCACTCGTGTGCCCTGCACCACTCGTGTGCCCTGCACCCTTTGCTGTTTAGGACCGTCCTTTGGAGCTTCCTGGCCTTGTGGCCTGTCTCTCACTTTCCTTTTCCTGGGCTAGTAGCCCCAGCCTCGTTCAAACGCAGTGTTTTCTAGTATGTGCTGGGAGGTCATTGCAAAACAGTCACTGAAGCAGCAGTTTTGTTCCGTGTTGTAACAAGAGGTGCTGCATCCTGGTGTCTGCAGGTGCAGACACCCTTACCTCCTCCTTTGGCATCCTCCCTTAGCTCCGTGTGCCTGAGGCAGCTCATACATGAGCAGGGAATAGCCAGTGTGCGGCTGTTGCTTAATAAAGCTGCRTTCACTGTGGGGCTGAAATTACTTGGAGAGCATTGAAAGATTTCCCATAACACAAATTATTCTTTAAACTTTTCAGAAATTGAACTAGTAGTTTTTATATAGAAGGAAAAGAAATTCCTGGAATTCCTCTATTGACGTTTTTGGCCATATAATTCCATATAATTCTCTGCAAATGAAGCCTGGTACTGGAAAAAGTATATTCAAGCATTAAAATACTAAGAACAAGCGTGTTTTTTTTTTTTTTTTTTGGAATGACTGTGCTGATGTTCCATTACTGTTTTGCACAAACTAAATAAAAATGCTGTTGTGGAGGTCAATGAAGGTGCTGCAGGCTTCAGCTCGTGCCTCCTGAACCGTTACGGAGACCTGGCGCAGTGGAGAACGGGAAGGTCTTCAGCAGGAGCAGGTTCTTGGTCTTCCCGGCGGCTGACACTAGAGGGAAAGGCAGAGCCGCCTCCTCGCTGCTCCGCTCCTGCCTCACGTTTTTCCTGGCTGTGCCACAGAAAGCTGGTGACCCCGAGCTGCCAAGCAAGCACCAACACTGCGCGTTTCAACCCTCCCCTCGGTTTGGAGTGAGCTAGATGGGCTCCTGAGAGTCACTTCTAGCAAAGTTGGGACTAAAWTCTAGGCTAGAGTCTAGTTGAGAGTAGAGCCAGCGCTCTTATCTATAGGACTGTGCTGCCTGCACAGAGGTTAGGCCTTGTGAGGTGCTTCTGCCACCTCAGTTCCACAAAGGCCCAAAACAAGAGTTCTCACCAAGGCAGAAAATAGCTGCCTGAGATAACATTGTAATGATGTGAGTGGAGCAGGAAGGAATAAAAGAAAACAGTTTGTGGCTCGGTCAGTGGTTTCAAATGCAGGACAGAGGAGGTTTTTTTCTTCCCTTTCAGCCAAATTGCAGTGACTATTCCCAATGTGGAAGGTTTGCACAAATATTGAATGGATTTCAGAGCAAAGTGTCCTCGGCTTTAATATTATATCCATCCCTTGATCTCTCGGTACCTTGATCTCTGGAAAAGGGACTTCAGTGCTTGCCTCTCGTGCCAGCAYGGTGGGTGCCCGGCTCCTTTGGAATTTAAGGTGTTTAGGTCCAGCAGTGGGGATGGGAGGCAGGGACCACAAGCTGTTGAGTGTTTATGGGGAAGATGGGAAGGAGTCCGTCTGTTCCCGCTTGGAACTTAGGCCGGTTCCATGCGAGGAGGCTTCAGCTGTCTGTTTTTGTGCTTGTCAGCAGCCTCACCTCCTGTCGTTGTTGCAGCAGTTTATGTAGACATTTTACTACCCAGGAATTGTGTGGTATCCTGAGGGATTGCCTGGGGTTTTACTCTGCCAAGTGGTGACAGGAGATCTCTGGGATGTGCCGGGGAGGCCCAGGAAAGGATTATTTGGGGATATTGTTGCACGGTGACCTCCCAAATGTTGCTAGTGACTATTTTCAAGTATTTCTGAAATGACTCYAGCTTGCAGCATCTCTGTTCCTATGTGGCGCTTTTGGCATAGTCTGAAATTGTTTCTATTTAGGGAGAATTGCAGGAGATGTTGTGCAAACCAAGTATTTTTGTCACCTTTTTTTTTTTCCTYAAGAAATACAGTAGTGTCTTTCAGAGCAACCGTAGCGCATTCCGGCCTCTTGGATCAGAGGCGGTCGGCTCCTAAAGTTACAGCAAGGGCTGTTACTGCCTTCGGGGTCTGCTGTGGCCACARTCTGCCATTTCTGAAGAAACAAAGGAAACCTTGCAACAAAAAACATAGCGAGATGAGGTTGCTAGTAGGAAACCCACCTTTTGCCCTGTTTCTTTCTGGAATGGAGGGTGTGAATTCCTAGAGAGCAGGAAAGGCCAATATAATGTTCTCAGAAACTTTTTTCTGGGCACCTCCGTGGATCAGGAACTGTTCTTTCCATGACTACTGTTACATTTCAGGGACTGTCCAGCAGGACACATGGCAACTGGCAAATACCCATTTTTGTAGGGAGCTCCCACATGTTGGTCAGCCTCTGGAAGGCAGAGAGCCGGGCCAGCCGGAGAACCCGCTTGTGCTCGGCCTGTCCCGAGGCTTTTCTGTAGCTCCGGGGGTGACTGAGCGCTCCGAGCTCTCTTCCTTTGAGTTCTGGACCGTGAGTTGTCCTTCCTGGCAGGAAGGGAAGGAGAGGTGGGATCTTGAAAGATTCTGGGAGACAGGGCCTTCCCGCTGTGGTTTCGGAAACGATTTCTCGTGTACCTCTCCATTCATCATCTCAAATATGTTGTGAATGACGAGCYCTCAAACTCCAAAGCAGATTTGCTTTTTGTTTGTTTGTTTTTTTGATGATTGTAGCCACAATCTGGAGATTCCTTCTAAGGACCCATGAAAGCCAGCTGGGGAAACCAGCCTATTGTCACTAGGCTCATACTAATTCCTGTGGAACTCCTCACATCCAGCAGAAAGGCTGGGATGCAGGAGCTGAAGAAGGATTGTGGATAATTGATCTAGAGCTTTGCCTTCGTCATAGTTCCTTGTTTCTTGTACACTGTAGGCAAAGTGGCAGAGTGCTTGGTTTGACCTGTTACTACAATGCTCTGTCTTTCTGTAGGTGTAGAAGGCGGCTTTGACATCACAGAGGAGAAGTTTGAATATCACGAAGATGTAAAAATAGTAATTTTCCCGGAGCACCTGGATATTCCTCGCGATGGGCTGGAGGGACTGCCAGACATGGTCAGAGACAGGGTACGTTTGGGTGGCTGGTTGTGTTTTCTGCTGGTAGGGAGGAAATGCACCATTACAGAGAAAGAACCACTGTCCTGTAAAAGGGATCCTTCAGAGCTGCTGTGAAGTCCCATCTCGGAGTAAGTAATAGAGTTGTGCRTTTAAGCAGTGATTGAAGTTACGAAGTCCTGGCCTTTGACTGAACAGTGCCTTCATGCAGCTGACTTGAGGTCTGACCCTCCCTGTGTGTGGARTGTCGTGGCGCTGGGCACTGGGAATTTCTTTCCTTGTGTCCTTTATTCTTTTCCTTGCTGTGCCCGTGCCAGATTGCCAGCGCGGTTGAGGCCATCCTGACAGCGGATTCAGCCTCCCGGAAGCAGGAGGTGCAGGCCTGGGACGGGGAGGTTCGCCGCGTTTCCAAGCACGCCTTCTCCCTGCATCAGCTCCAGAATGACATCCGCATCCCGCCGTGGTGAGCTGAAGCCAGACGCTCCCCTCGCTTCCACATCCACACGGGCCTGTGGTGGGAGCGTTGCTCCTGCAGGGAATGTTGTCCCTTGTGCACGGCCTGTTCAAATTAGTAAATCCAGGGCAAGGGGCAGACTAAAGTAGTTCACGGTGCTAAATATCCTAGGGGATATTCTCCAYCCTAAAGGAAGAGAGACCCCATAACCTTGGCTTGTACTGTGATCAGCAGGCAGCAGTGGAGAGGGTTTGGGAGGCCGAACACAAAGATTTTCCGCAACTGATTTTCTTTCTTTCCCCTGCCTTTTGCCACCAGTGGCTGGAAGTGCAGCAAGTGTGACATGAGGGAGAACCTGTGGCTGAACATGACCGACGGAGCCATCCTGTGCGGTCGGCGCTACTTTGACGGCAGCGGCGGCAACAACCACGCGGTCGAGCACTACCGGGAAACCGGCTACCCGCTGGCTGTGAAGCTGGGAACCATCACTCCCGATGGGGCTGGTGAGGAGGGGTCCACGGGGGTTGGAGATGCCGGGCTCCACTTGGGCTCCCCCTGGTTTCTGAGCAAAAGGCAAGTGAGGGAGGATCTCCGGGGATGAAGGCAGCGTTGCCCAGGGAATGTTCTGCACATACAGTGTCATCTGGTGCTCAGCTTCCCTGCTCTGGTCTGCTGCTTGTTGGAGGCCAAGAAGGGGCTGACAAAACGTAGCCTTCCTTCTCCCCTCCTTTGTAATTTGAAGGGTCTTGAAGTAGTTGTCCAGATTTTCCTGTGGTTAGACGTTTGTCAAAGAATTTTATGTTCAAAGCTTGAACAGAGAGTAGTTGGCGCAGTAACCCACTTCTCTCGTTTCAGGCATACATGTGCCCTGATAAATGAGGGGTTTCTTTCTGGTTTGGCATAAGGTCTAGGGGAGCCTCGATATTCTGCCTGTCGCGCTGCTCTCCGGAGAAAGGAGAGGAAATCCAAGTGCCCGTCAAAAACGCCAGTTCTGAGTACCCTGTTC